AAAAAACAACTGCATTGTCTTATTTCAAGCGCATATTATCTAATTATCTCATTTTAAGAGTAAATATACTCATTCCATTGGAAGATCATCTTATTTTTCTACTTAAATTAGGAGTAAATACACTTTATTTAAGAAATGTTGTCTTGTTTCTAGATCGTTTTTGCAGTGCATGTGTGGCTGTCAATCCAAAAAGAGAGTTGGTCACATTCAAAGAGCAAATGTCATTGGTTTGACTTTGTTTCCAGTGTGTTTAGGGACCAGAAGGGTCACACAAAAACTAAATAGAAAAGAGAAACTGTTAGGAAAATGCACAGGGACCATAACGGTCACAAAAATGTTAAATGGAAAGGCTAAAGTAAAAACAAAATGCCATTTCAAGAAGGATTTGGAAAAGCAAGGTGAAAAATACATTTTCAAATTCCAGCATTTATTGATAGAGTATAAACATGAATACAAATTCTCTTTGATGATTAAATAAAAAATGTGCAATTTCAAAATGCTTATAAGTTAGATTTATAATTGAATAGTTAAAATTTGATATGGATGTATTTCTTTTCCAGTGACTCTCCTGTTCCTCCATAAGCCAAAGGTCATGGTCAGGGTTTGTCCTTGTGCAGAGAAAACATTAAAACTATATAAACAGAAAATACAGAACGTCGAGTTGTGCTAAAATACATGTTCCTTTTTTGGTCCCTAGGGGGCAGCATATCTTAATTCCTGCTCATCATTGAAGATTTACTAAAAGCAGAGGAGACCTTTTCTCAACTGCTATTGGGTCAACTCCAACCATTTATCTACATATGAAACGTACACCTGTCTGCTAATTGCCCATACCATTTAAAGAGGATTACATGGGCTGATTTTGTTTTGCAGTATTCATTTAACCAAACGTAAGCTGCTGCACTTGTCCCAGTTGAGTTCAGTCCAATACCTTTTAGGAAGATATATATTTATGTTCAAAATGTAACTTTTGTGGGTTTTTCTTGTCTTAATAAATATATTATTCAGGAAATTTGTAACATAACTTAAGATATTCACGATATCCCAAAAGCCAGTTTGAATAAAAAAAAATTCAAAAAGTTTTTAAAAATGATTTTCAGCACAGACATATTTACTCGCCAAACTTTTCTTAAAAACAAATGTTGCAACAAATGTTACACATGCAGATTTTTTTTTACATGCTAGCCATAAAAATGTAAAGTAAACTAAGCAATGAGTCAATCCAACTAAGTTGTAATTTGTTCAGACAAACAATCCGGCCAGAACTCAAAAACATGAATATGTCTTCTGTTAAGGTGAGCCTGTGCAATTCCAATGTTACCAAGATAAAGCAGCATGCTTCTGAATGGAGAAATGATGCAACTTTCCCCAGCCACCGTTACTGAATACATGTAATTGTAAAGTTTGATTTCATTGTTATATTATAGAGAAATGTAAATGAAAAAGTTTAATCTGTTTTTATTTTAATTTTTTTCCATTTTATCCCTTCTTCTCTACAAAATGTGCCTGCAAAAAAAACCACTGCATACTGATGCATTTTAAGTTAGTTTTTCATTGTAGTTATGAATTGTTCAAAGCTTTGTGTTCATGTAAGTATGTGATAATCAAAAGGTAAAATTTCACAAATAATCAAATTCAATTGTATATATATTTTTTTATTTTATTCCTACTTAATTTGGTACTAATCCCTGCATGAGGCTGATAAGCTTTATGATAACTGATGCATTATGAACCCTCATTCAAGTAAACAATTTAGATCTTTAGTAGATGTTCCTTAAAGACTCAGATGGCGTTGCGACCTGTCCAGGGTGTACCGCGCCTCTCGCCCGTAGACAGCTGGAGATGGCACCAGCACCCCTCGTGACCCCGCTTGGGATAAGCCTGACGGAAGATGGATGGATGGATGGTTGTTCCTTAAAGAACATCTGATACTAAATGATGTATATAAATTCATGTCAGTTCAATCCCTCCAACAACAAACAAACCATTTTGATACCGATGTACTTCGCAAGCAGATGCAGTTTGTTCTGCCAAGAGAACAATAAACATTATGCTGCCACTATCATTCTGCTGTTTTACATTCGGCAGCCATATTGGATTTTATTACAGGAGAAAGAGGCTCTCAGATATTCCAAGCTGGAAATGTTAAAACAAATTATTTTTTACTTTTGAGAACAAATAAAAAATACATCATGCCGTGACACCAGCTGAACCATATTGGGTAATAAAAGCCTCTAAATTTCATTTTGTGAATTTTTGCAGACCTTATTTAATAAAAAAAAAGCATCAGCATAGGTGGAAAGCCCTTAAATATGCTCAAATTAGGATAATTTGTATAAACAACAACAAATAAAATCAGATAAACTGATATATAAACCACATATCAGTAGAACTGGGAATGAAAAGTTGACGCGTACTGTGGTCACTTCAAAATCTTTTACATGTTGCTCCAGGAAATGTTTCTGGTTTTTGAGAGAATTTCGGTGGGTTGTTTTTTTATTTCTCTAAAGGCTGCAGTCTTCTTTTTGTTGCACCTACCAGAAGGTGTTATGTCCAAACAAAGGCTGTAAAGGATTGCATTTGTGCTTGTCTTGCAACCCTTGTGCATCATTGTCTTCATTCTCACACAGTGCTTAAAGGAGCAGACACCTACACAAACCGCACATGACGGTAAAAATTCAAGTGTGAACCCACAACAAGATGGCTGACGCAAACAGATGTTGACCTTCATTGTATCAAATGTAACTTTTTATTTGGAACGTTATGCACAGGGACCTAAGCTTGTCATGGATATCTCACATTTTGAGTTAAATGTTAATAAATAAAAAAAAATTGTTCCAGTTATTCTGGGACTCACTTTACCTAAAAGTATTTACAAAGGTTAAACTTTAAAACATAGATTTCAATTTACATTACCTTTATTTCACGTTATAGACCAGGAGTTTGCAACTTGTGGCTCTTTGGACCTTGAGTACAATAGCTTTTGATCAGTCTTGCTAAAATCTATAAAAAGCCAGAACTAATTAGGTAAATATAAAAAAATGCAAATTTAAGCAAATTTTTTATTTATTTTTTGTTACCTGGAGTGATTGCACCCAATTTTCAAGAAAATAGAAACTAAAAGTAGTAACTGTAATAATTTTTGGGGAATTTATTTTTCTTGAAACAGTTATGTTTACACAATTAATTAGAAGAAAATATGTTCATCCCCCTTTTTAGACAAGTTTTTTTTAATAAAACAGTAAAGAGACATGTAAGTTTTTTTCTGAAAAATATCTTAGAAATAGCCTTTTTATTTGACCCTTTAAGACTGAAACATCATATGATAGTAAATGTATATTCTGATTCTGATATGATGAGCAGACTGACACCTCAGCAGTTCAGCTCTGATGTGTCTATAAGCCTGTAGCCTATTTTCCTGAATTTACTTCGGGTCAGAAGTTTCAGCCAATGTGACGTCTAGCGCCACCCTGTTGAAAGGTTCTGGCCTAGCAAACAACAATCAAAGTATCATATTCAAGATGTATTTTGTAGATACACTGATTGTCTTTTCTGTCCCTACTGGAAAGAAAAACTATTCCCACAGCATGTTGCTGCCACCACCGTGCTTATCTGTGGAGATTCTGTGTTAGGGTGATTTCCAGTTTAGGTTTTGCTGCTCTGATGAGATTTTTGCATGTGGGGAGCAAGTTCAGTTTTGGTTTCACTTAACTAGAACTGCTTCTTCCACATATTTACTCATTAGATGTTCTGCAGGAAACTGCAATTTAGACTTATGACCTTCTTTGAAGAAGGATTTTCTTCGCTGATTAAGTTAAAGTACACAATAAATACTTGTTCTCTCAATAGATTCTCCCACGTCTTCTTTCGATCTTGGCAGCTCCTCTAGAGTTTCCACTCTTGTTTCTTTCTTTGAATGATTTTTGTTCTTTTCCCAGCCTGTTAACTATGTGTGCAGATGAATCATACTCTCTCCATCTCGACTGACGTATCGTATGTCTCTCTGAGAAGCTAAAAGTTGTAAAAACTGCTATAAAAACCTAACCTTGCTTTAATCTGATCCTCATCTTTAGCCTTGACCTGTGCGCTACCAGGGAAATTGTCCACAAATACATTTTTTAACAAACTTCTGTGGCCTTCAAAGAACAGCTGCATTCAAAACTAAGATGAAACATCACATAAATTAACTTTTTTTTCACTTACAGTATATTCGCAGCTGGTCTTGCTTAGGTTTTATAATGTTATCAAAGGAAGGCTATACCGTTAAAAAAAAAAAAAAAAGACCACACAGATCTGATCAGCTCTGTGTTGACCTGTCCCAAAATCTCTCTTTTTGTTCAAATTTGAACTCAAAGTTCTTAAACATCCATCTCTGAATATACATAAACCCCTTCTTTCCTTCAAAAGGTTCTGAACCTCTCCTAAGAGGTTTTAAAAAAATTAAAAGGTAAAACTGCATATTAAAGAAAAGGATTGTGTGATATGCTGTTTTATTAATACAATGTAATGAATGATATAATGATCAAACTCATATTAGACAGCCATAATGTGGCAAACACTCGTCCAAACTCTTTTGTAGTTTATTGCAAGAAATAAGGCAAATCAAGCAATATAATCAATAAGGAAATAAATCTTTATTAAACAGTAAAAAATACATGTGAAAAAAATATATATATGTATATAAATCATTAATGCTAGATGTTAAGCTGGCTCTAATCATCAACTCAGTCATTTAGCACAATTATTTCGCTATGAGCATCACATCTTTCCCTAAAATCCTTTGTTATTGTAATAAAAGCAATCTGGTTCTGGTTTCGCCCTCGCCTTACATAATCCCGTTCACCATATGTTAATAGTAAAGTGAACATGGATTTTCTTTATTCCTGTTTAGCTCCTGCTTTGACCAGTCCCTCCCAGCCTAACGTCATAGGTGACCATGTGGAAGTTGTCCCAGGCGTACAGCTTCCTCTGGGCGTGGTTGTAGTCCACCATGCTGTTGTAGCGGTACTTGTTCTTAAAAGGCACAGCGATTGCCTGGCTCTCATTAGTTAAAGTGTCAAACATGTAACTGATTGTGGTGTTGGGTGAAGTGTAACTGGCCACCGTATATAAGCGTCCGCATATCATGAAGGCATTACCAACCGAATTCTTCCTGATCTTTGTCTCCCAGCTTCTTCTCACCTCTAGGCTCTGGGGATCCAGCTGGGAAACAATGATGGCCCCCTTTGCTTTGCTCGTGCTGTAGATGGCCCACAGTCCGTGCTCGTCCACTGCCAGGTCGATGTCAGTGTAGCCGCCCCAGGAGTAAGGGTACTGGCCGTGAAAGCCAGCATGGGGCAAGTCCAGGCGGGCTTCAAGACTCTCCGAGGTGAGGTTGTACCGAAGCAGGGTCCGGCTGCGTCTGCGCTGGTAGTACAGGGAGTTTTGATACACGGTGGCCCCTGTGCTTTCCACAGGCTCTGACAGAACCAGGACCTTCATAGGAAAACCTTTGGAAAACTGATCCATATCTTCATACACAAAGAGCTGACGGACTTCTTTCCCAACCGCATCGATCCGCCATACCGTCTGCCTGGTGTAATAGGGACCCTCAGGGTCCGGATCTTGGAACCACACGCCATACTTCCCTGTGATGCCATCAGCTTTTCTGTGCAACACGGGATCTCCAACTGACACTAACTCTCCACAGCCTAGAGGCAAATTTAAGATTAGGTTAACTCTTGCATATATTTTCAGAGCCGTCAGATGCTTTTACCTGCAAAGCTGTGGTTTCCCGCTGGAATCAGGTGGGATGCAGGAACCTCTCTCACCTCAGCTTTCATCTCCTGATAGGAGGTGTTTTTGAAGTGATACCCTGCATTTGGTGGGAATGGTATACAACACAAGAATCAGTTTAATCTTAAATTTAAAAAGTAGAGACAAAGAACCAAGTATTTTTTTTTTTTTATCTGCTTTCCCTTGGACTTTTCTTTGCCTCAAACATGTCTGTAAAACTCCAAACCCATCCTTTAGAAAGCCTTTGGTGATTATCAGAAAAAGCTACATGTGCACATACCTCTGAGATGTCTGTTTTCATGTAGAGCACCAGCTGAGGTGTTCATCTGTTCACAGGGCCTCTGCCGAAGATCCTCCGCCTCCAGGCTCAGCTCGGCCAACGTTCTCTGCAGCCTCTGGACCTGCGTGTTCAGATGTTCCTGGTCCAGTTGTAGCTGGTTTCTTTCTTTTGTAACCTGGGCATAAGCTTCCTGAACAGACTCATCGCTGTGTCTCAGCCCACCAGAACTGGCCCCGCTCCCACCTCCTGCTATCAGCCGACTGACCAGACCTTCAAGGAGAGTGAGTCTGGTCCGGATCTCATCCGTCTCTGATTTGCTGCTGCCTCCGGGGCAACTGGACTCCTGTGGGTTGACCACGGTGAAGGTGTAGACGCAGCGTCCGGTGGGGTCATTGGAGCGGCTGAGAGAGGCTCGATCTTGGCTTTGGGAGAATACACCTAAACAGGACAAACAGATGAAAGACATACGGAGCAACATTCTGGAGATCCTAATTGAAAAAATACTGTTAATTTTTCTTCTGTATATAAAAAACTTCTTTCTCTATTTCCTCTTTTCTCTTTCTGTCTGTGTTTCCCTATCAGTGCTGTTCAATATTTGATTTCCAGTAGAGCTTTGAGTATTTATGAAGTTCGGCAGGAGGGGATGGACTAACCAGAGGGGTGTGTGGATGTGTTTTTTTCTAATGCTCCATGTGTTTCTTGCTTTTGGCTGATAGTGAGGAAATGTTTGCTGAGACGGACAAACAACCTGAAAACCGCAAAGTATGAGTTAGAGCAAGCAAAGTTTGTTTTCCTGCATTGTGTCTCAGCAGTTGGCATGTTTCTGCAGGTTGTTTTCACTCTGGTTTTTATGTGTCTAGCCGCTGTCACCTGCAGCTTTGTTTACTTCCTCGACAACTGATAATTTTCCCATTAAACCACTGTATGATTAACCGTAACAAACCCAGTTTATGGCCACAACACGGGATGTTAATTAGACCGGAGGGTAAGGGTGGAGGAGGAATGCAATGCCAGCAACAGAGAGGCCAAACTGGTGCGCTGCAAAAAATGTCCATCTAACCAAATCTTACAATACTAGATCTAGCCAAAAAGTCTTTTTGATCATGTTTTGTGATTGGTACGCTTAAACAAGAGCAGATTATGTCAGATTATTAATATTATTTTGAAGGGAATTAGAAAATAGGTACAATAATGCGCTAGTGTAATCAGACAAATGCACTAAGTAGGACACTGTTTTCAAAATATGTCATAAGGTAAATTGTCTTACTGCTCTGGCACATTATTACTCTTATTTTTTAGTACAATTTCCACAACGGAAAGTTAATAATATAACAGAATCTGCTACTGCTTAGTATATTAATAATAAGACAGATCTGGGATGGTAAGACTTGGTAAGATTGACAGTTTTTGCAGTGTGCTTCAGACGGCCCAGCCACATCACAGCTGGGCAGGATGTCTGGCATAAAAAGGCAGACTAACTGGGTGCGGTGATGCAATGTAACTGTACTCTGAAAAAATCCAAGTATTTATGCACTTTCAAAAAGGTTTCATTAACTTCCACCAAACAGGCTTAATTCAGGGACAAACCTGTTTTTTTGCTTGGTTTATATCGGATAATTTATGAGACCATGTTGTCAGATTAGTGCAGGTTTTGGGTAGAAATGAGCAATTTTGTAAGGAAAATAATCAATTTATCCTTTAATAATGTTGGGTTAAACTTTTTTCAAACTTTTATACTAAAGAAAGTAAATTCCTTGGAAACATGTATCACCTTTTAATGTTTTAATATTTTTTCCCATTAAAACCTTAAACTCAGATTGTATCTATTAGACCCACATGTCACTGTATTAGCATATATATGCTGGGTGCATTTTTTATTTATTTTATAAATATGTATCTGAAAAGAATGGCATGTAGTAGAGCCCTCTTTTTTCTTCTTAATTCTATACCCCTTAAAGCTCCAGTGTGTAATAATTGCAGGGATTTCCTGAAAGAAATGTAACATATTATACATACGTATGTTATTTATTATCATCTATGAGCTGAAAATCTCAATATTTATGTCTGCATTGCCTTAGAAATTGCTATTTATAAATACATAAAAGTGGGTTTATAACGTATGGAGGCAGACATGCCTTATCCTCAAATGACAGAAAAGGTGATGCAGAAGATGCAGAGGCTATTTTGTACCATGACAGCCTCTGTATTGTTTGAGGTTGTTGCTGCAGTTTGAGCAAAGATGTCACTGAAAATTACACACTGGAGCTTTGATAAAAATCTATTGCAAAGAAATGACATGCAAGTCATGAATCTGCCTAAATCATTCAGTGCTGAATGTAAAAGCAGAGAGTTGCCAATTTAACAGAAGCCATGCAGAGGAATTAGCAAAAGGTTTGGTAGAGGGAGCTATGATGGATATGATGAAAATGGAAACTGTTTAGCTTCCATGCAAAGCACTTCGTGTGGTGACTGTACGTTACCTTGAGCACACAGTTACCACGGAAAAAACACGTGGTGGCAGCATCATGCTGTGGAGATGGTTTTCTTAAAAAAGGGGTAGTGAATCTATATGGAGCTAAAAATATTCCAAAGAAAAATAAATTAAGATGCTGACGACTTGAAAATGTGGAGGTGTTCAAAGTCCAGCAAATCAGAAGATCAGAAAGCACTAAAACTTTCTTAATAAAGGATATGCTTCTGTTTCAAATTTCAATAGGTTCTGCATACAGCTGTTCCCAATATCTATGCATTCAATCAGTGGTAGATATTTTCTGAAGAAGAACTAACTGCAAGGGTTAAACAAGAGAGGCAGGGAAATAAACTTTTGGAGTCAGTTGAAATCAAAGGATGTCATGGACAACACATATTGACAATGTGGTGACTAAAATGTGCATAAACATTTCATTGATTAGATGCAATATTCATTTTATGTCATTATTATTGCAGTCCCCTGTGTTGTGTCAAAAAGACCTGGACAAAATTCAGATGGTGCAGAAACACTCAGTGTCAAAGATTTTGGTAAATGATAAATGGTATGTACTTATATAGCGCCTTTATTCAAGTTAGGAGACTTGACCAAAGCACTTTACACTACATTCATTCACCCATTCACACACACACTCACGGTGGCAAGCTACATTGTAGCCACAACTGCCCTGGGGCTCACTGACAGAAGCGGGGCTGTCGTACACTGGCGCCACCTGGCCCTCTGACCACCATCAGTAGACAATGCAGGTGAAGTGTCTTGCCCAAGGACACAACGACACTGAAAGTCGGAGTCGGGGCTTAAACCGTCAATCCTTCGATTTCAGGGCAAACTCCTACATCCAACGCCACTGTCACTGTCGCTATTTTCATGGATAAAAGCCAAGAACAGAGTGTTCTGTATTTTTTTTGTTGTCTTTGCACAAAGTATGAATGTTACACAAACCAAATAAGACCTTTTTCCAAATGACAGCCTCCCTATTTCACAAAGAGCATGTTATTGGACACTAAAGTGTGATGTAAGTCTTTTAATGGATCCAGGAAACAGCAGTGGAGCAGTGGGTAGCAATGCTGCCTTGCAGCAAGAAGGTTCTGGGTTTGATTCCTGGCCTGGCGTCTTTCTGCAGGGAGTTTCCATGTTCTCCCTGAGCATGTATGGGTTCTCTCTGGGTACTCTGGCTTCCTCCCAGAGTCCAAAAACATGACTGTTACGTTAACTGGCTTCTCTAAATTCTCCTTAGGTGTGCATGAATGGCTGTTTGTCCTTTTTGTCTCCATGTTGCCCTGTGATGGACTGCGACCTGTCCAGGGTGGACCCCGCCTTTCGCCCCTAGACTGCTGGAGATAGATACCAGCACCCCTTCTGATTGAGCGTGTCAGAAAATGGTTGGATGGATAAAACAAAACACATGCAGCAAAAAATATATTTCGAAAAAACTGTAAAA